CATAATTAGATCTAATTTCACTAATTTTAATAACTACCAGTAATTTTCACTACTGCTTAATCTCAACCTATCTCAAAACGTAAATAAAAGTTTTATGGTTGTAGGACTAAAGCTTATTTCGTATTACATTTATTATCTTATTTTATGTATTATTATAAATTGTTATGTAGTATTGTAATTGTACTGTAAAGTCCATTTGAAGATATTCTGAGGGCTCTGAAGGGGTGAAATGAATATTTAGATCTGTTTCCAAGTGAAAACTGATATCACTACTGCTTGATATTAAGCTGTCGGGACAGGTATAGAACTTGGAAGCTTGTGGTTGGTCAATGGAATACTTGTAAAAGATTTTAAATAAATTTAAATAATGGCATCTTCAATAACATGTCACACAATTGAAACATTTATGAGTATTCGAAACTGATACGAATAAATGTTCGGATTCGTAGCCTCGATGCATCTAAATTTTGATACCAAACTTGTATAATTATTAGAAAACAACAAAACCGAGGTGATAGATTTATTTACATCTGTCATAGATCAAGATCAAATTCGGTCATTCAATGGGATCTAGTAGTAAGGTTATTGCTCTTACGTTAATCAACAACTATACGACGTTCTTATCTATTGTTGTGTATTACAAAAACGTTTTTCGCTAGGTTTCCGATGCAGCCGGGTGCGGCTGCTTCCAACCGTATATTCTAAAGAATTATGGACCTCTAATGTAATGTAACGTAATGTAGGGCAAACAGCAAGATTTATACATACAATTCGAAAAGGAGCACACATAACGCATATTATATGTATGTTTATTCCCTCGATTTAGAAGATGATGTACCGAGTAGGTGCTACGTTGTCAAATTGAGACTCGATATTCTAACACTAACGAAATTCTTGCACTGCGGATTCACAAGAGGGTTGGATAGTAGATACAGGCGAAATTATACAGTGACCGATTAAATTCATTTAAATTTTTTTAAGTATATATCTACACTGTTAATCCAGTAGGATATGGATTATTTTGTAAAATTATTTATTTAATTACATAAGCCCCTTAAAATGTTAGAAAATAAATCGTTGATGCCGCAAACGACAAGGCTTGAAAATCTATTCCCATTTCGAATAGGTTGATATTAAGCAGCAGTAAAAATATATTCCTAAATATGATTTTTGAGTGAAATAGCCTTTTAGAATAGCGCTGCATATATTATATATAGTATCAGTAGAACCTTGCTAAAACAATTTGCCAAGTCCAGGACCAAAAACGCGTCTTAAGCGAGAAAATTTATTACACATTGATGTATTACATATTAAATGGGATAGGATCAACATGCTTTAAAGGGCAGGAACCGGTGTAAAGTGGCGTATTATGCAAAAAAAATCGTATTAAGCATGATCATCTTAACGTAGCTACTACGACATAGTCTAATGGTCGGTGAACCGGGGTAAATTACCCCGAATGGGATAAAAATTGAATTTTTGGAGGTAAAAAGTACCTATTTTTAATTGATATTTATTGTATTTGCTATGTAGTTGACCTATGTGGGTAATTTCTCTTCGCCATGATGGTAATATCAACTTAGACAAAAATATTTTGGGCAATGATTAAAAAAGTTCCCCGACCGCTGACATAGTCTAATAATAGAATGCAATATGAATGAAAATATGAATTTCTTTAAAAAAAATTCTACATTATTGTCTACAGATCGCACAAACATTTTTGTAAACAGTTCTTCTGTTAGTACAATTATGAAAAATAATTGTACAAATAAGGCAGTTTTAATGTTATTACATAGTGTAGTGCATATCCTTAAGATAAGCAAATTTTCCACTCGATGAAAACCAGCATTAATAATAATAGCTTAAACGAATGAAACTTATATTTGAAAAACTTTTATGCTGAAAGTTGAATCAAGGATTTTTTAATTAGTTAATAATGTCGATGATTGATTGAAGAATAATTGAGTCATGAAGATTATATTGCATTTTTACTCCAGAATTTTCCGTCATTGGATCATTTGTTTATGTAAATCTCTTTTTTTTTCAATTAGACTTAGAATTTCAGAATTCCAAATATATATAAATAAATCATTATAAGAAAAAGCTACTAGAACAACCACTGGGTTGCCTGCTAATAATGCCACACTGTAACAATTACAACACAACAACTCATAGAATACAAAGAATAGATCTGATTGCTAAGTAGAAAATTATAAATGCGATTGCTTAATCATTTATTTCCTCCATTTTGCAAATAAAACCTTTAAATTTTTATTATTAAATTTGAAATAAACAACATTTCATTATCACGACATATGCAAGCAGCTTTTTGACTATCAATTAGGGCCAATATTAGTATCAATTTAAAATTATCAATACCAATTGAATACAGTTGGAACCATATAATTACACGTATGATAAACGATTTAAATAAAATCCTTGAAATAATATAAAAAGCTAATTATTCGCGAACAATTCTTATAGATTTTTAAGCAAAAAACTAGTCTTACAATACCAATGTCAAATTCTATGCAGTTTCACGCCGATCTACGCATGTATGTAAAATGTTATATGACGACTTCAATGATTAGGCATAATATGAAGTATAGAAAAAAATATGAGTTAGAAATTTTAATCCAGAATTGCTAAAATTTTTAGTATCTTTCTAAATAGAATGATTTGAAATGAATAGAATATATTAAATTTTGCAAGGGTTTATGATACACTCAAGCAGATCCAATGGCAATATTGATAATGGCACCGTACCATGTGAAGAGAAAATACTAGAGTTAATATCTACAAAACACGCAAGATTTTATATTATAAATAAAACAGCTTGACAGGAAAATAGAAATAACCAAGTTGCTTCACATTGCGAAGTAAGGCGTTTCCAATATATAGATACTGGTAATTTGATTTTAAAACAACGCATTAATTCCCAAATACTTGATCTAAGCTAAGCCTATCCGAAAAAGAAAGATTTGCATAATCAAATTATAATAGGACCAAAAATTCTGAAGAAGTAGAAAAGCAATATGATCCACTATATTTTCACTTGACTTGACTTGATTCTTTAATCAATCATCGACATTATCCACTAATGAAAAAATCCCTGATTCAACTTTCAGCATAAAAGTTTTGATATAGGTATATTAATGACAGATTTACAAATTCACTTTTTCTATATTGAATTATTAGTGTTTTTGTTACCAGTCATTTCGTGGCATAAAATCATCATAAAAATGATACATCAGAATTCATGATGAGCAGTGATACATCTGATCATCATCCTCAACTTAATTCATGATAATAATAAAGAAGAAATTTGCCAAAGAAATAAATAAAATAGATTTTGCAATTGAATGAAGTAATACAATTAAGGAATACAATTTCAACCCTCAAGTTAAATTACCAAACAAAAATGCAACAGATTTCTATTATATTTTACTTGCAAAAGGTATATGCATAAAAATCAATATACAAAGAAAAAACAATCTTGAACTTACCATAAAAAATAAATAAAATCCTAAAATTAAAATCAATAAAATTCCTTTAAGTAAACACTTTTCTCTGTGAACTGTTGTTCCTTATTTAACTAAATTAAAGATATAAATCATTAACATCAGATGCGAGGTCATACCTAAATGGTTTAAAGTGTTAAGAAAAGTATCTCATATTTCTATTATAAATTTCATCTAAATATTTCCAGGTTCATGGAAAGTCTGATAAGCAAAGATTGTATGAAACAATAACTAGATTAACCGTACCCGTAAATAGTTATTAAAGGGGTAATATTCTATTAATGAGTACACAAATGACTCAAAATATAAATCATGTACTTGATGCAACTATTTTGGCAAATTTCATTAAAAAAAATCTCAAAATATAAATCATTTTAAGTGTTACAATAAAATAAATATATTCAATTTCAACATATATGAATTTACTCTCGTTGCATTGAAAATTCTTTAAAAATGCTTTGTATTTGAAAAGGCAATAAATTTTATTAAAGTATAAAATGGAGAACTTAAAAAGCACAACAGTTTAGAATACACTTTAGGATAAAAAATAAAGATTAATAAATATCACGGGGTACTCATCTTACTCATTTTGATGGTGATTGAAATTCACAATACGATTCAATAGCAAACAACATGTTCTGTTATTGATGTATAAAGTTTTACCTGTACTTAATGATCAGTTTTAGAAATTACATTACCACTTAACTAAATAAATTCATTCCAAACCCAAAATGAAAACAATAAGACACACAGATATTCATGAACATTAATTGTACTTATATATTTCCATTCATTGCCAACAGCTGATCAAAATAAAATTTACACCGAAAACATATACAAGGAAAGAAATAGAATAATTACAATCTCTTTGGAAACAACTAACAAACTCAACGGCTACTACAACAAGATTACATGAATACACATCTATTAATCCTTAACATACAAAATTAAGTCATAACCCAAAAATTATACAATCCACCTATGTGGCTCTCATCACTAAACAGCTGTTTGACCCTATTTTTTTGCATTATCGTTTGAAATACATAAAAGCATAATGTGGCTGAATGTACTCGATAAGTAAAATAATATCAAACAAAACTTTAGAAGCAAATAAAGACCAATAGAAAAAATGGTTTCTAAAGCATCTGATTATTGACATTAAGTATCAAATGCAATTGAATATATAGCAACAAATACAAAGTAAAAAAACATTTTGAAATATAAATAAAATACGGTAATAAATTCACTGTACATGTAATACAAAAGTTGATGATAAATGCATGTATATGCACATTTATATAAACACATAAAAAGTGGTCAAAGTTTTTCGGAAATAGATTTCTTGCGCTTATGAAGCCACAATGAAGTTTGATTAGCTTATTATAAGAAAATTGCTAATAGAAATGTGCTTGATATAGATTATCTATTGATATAATATTCAAGGTGAAACAGATAAAGATAAAATGGTAAGTTTCCTACCTCTGTGGTCTTAGGTGGAGCAACTGGTATGTCCCGCATAATTTGATGTTGAGGAGTAGCACCGTAGCCATGATCCACCAAATGATAACTAACAGTAGTCTGCTGAGGGCTAATTGATGTGTACTGTTTGACCATTGATAAATCAGGACTAGCATTGGATTTTTTAAGCACTGGCCCCAGACTTCTATCATCGTAATCAGTCACCATAGAACGTTTAGTAGTACTTCGCCGCATCTTGCCTTTATTTTAAAACAATTCCACAAAACTTTATCTTACATGCATGAGGAAAAGTATGTGGTATCTTTCAGGTTTCGTTTTAGGAAAGAAAATCTGCAAAGAAAATTTTTAGGTAGCAATATCTTTGTAAAGGTGAATGCAGTGAGACCTGTCAAATATGTTATATAAAAATTAAATTTGAATAAAGTTTTTGCGTAAGGAAAATATAGATAAAATAAAGATTTATTTTTGACATAGCCAAAAAAAATTTAGGTTATTATCCACCGCCAATAAGGTGACTTACCTCAGCATACGTTCACTGAAGTACGGATTTCGCATGCTACTTTTACATGTTATCTTATGTTAAAACACTGTTTTTTAATCAAATCTAATAAATAAATTGTTTACCAAATATAGTATTTCATTCAATAATAACGTATTTTTGTCTGCGTCACCTTACACCCAAAATGAAGCTACACATCTAGCGACGCACATAACATTAGTAAAGCAAAACATCCACTCGGTTAATGAACCAAATATGACACAATACATCCACTCACCTTATTTGCAGGAACATCAGGTCAATGTTTATCAATATCGGAAGATAAAAACATTATTACAATTCGGAAAAATTATTCAATTATGCTACATAATCGTTATTTAAATAAAAATGTCTGCGTGCGGCTTCGAGATCGAGCGAATGGGTACTTGTAAATGCTACGACGCCTACCGCTCAAAGAAAACTTGCACAATTGGTGGAAAAGTGACAGGCAAAACGCCCGCTAAATTTAACATACACTTTATTGCCGATTACATTTTCACCATTCATGATTTATTGCAATTATTGGAAAATTTTAATAAATAAACTTGTAATACACTGTAACCGCTTTTAGTTTCGTTTGCCCTCTCTTTTTGTACAATGCTCAGAACATCTGGCAAGGCGACGCAAAAGGTGGCGCGAACTCGTTGCGCATGCGCACCGACACGTTTCGAAACCAACCCCAAAGCCGCGTCATCGGCAACCCCGCAAATCGCAACCCTAGGGAAAATTTTTCATATGGAAGAAAAAACATGGATTTGCTAGACAATAGAATTACTGACAAACTAGTTCCTTATGTAAGATGGAACTGGTTTCATTTTTTTTCATTTGGGAACTAAATACAAAAATTTAATAACATTGTGCTTATTTATTTAAAAAATACATTTTCAATATTAAATAAAAATATTATTTACAATTTGTCTTAAAATTCATAAACCAATCAAATCATACACAACATGACATTTCTACTACACATTCAAATACAATTTGCAAACTCTTAAATAAACAAATCTCAAACAAATTAAATAAATTTCAAATTGCTTTACCATGTGCATGATCAGATTGTCAATCAATAATAATCAGATTGATAAAATATATGATGTCCTTAATACTATATATCAATGATAACGAACAATTCATATCGATTATGCTCAGGGTCATTAATAATCTGCATAGCCGAGTATGTAATTGCTTTAACCTCCGTCCCCTGTGGATGCTTTCCAATCGTAAATTCTTCTCCATAACATCTACATTTAATTGTAAAATCATCTTCATCGAATTCATAAATCTCTAACCTACTGCATATTAAATATGGCTCAGCGCTAAACAAAAATAACAATTCATCAAGAAAATGATATAACAATCCTTCCAAATCATCTCCATGAGCTTCTATTTCATGACATTGAGTTATTTCAACAGATTTTAACTCATCTGATGTCATATAACCAAACATAGAAATACCACATTGTTCGAAGGCCTCTTTCAAAGAATCACCCCATGCGTGCAATCTAATAAGAAAAATATTGTTTTAAATCAACTTGTAAGAGATTCAAATAAAAAATTATAAACAAAATTCTTACTGCACATCAGCTGTGTGGTCCAAATCTGTGAAATAAAATCAGAAGAATATAACCTTCAAAAGTACACATGGCCTTAAATAATATAAGAGTGATGTGAATTTTAAATTAAATTAGTATCAGGTAATGTATCCCAAAATTGCACTTACATTCATATTTCACTGGGGCTTGTGGGGGCTCATTAATAGTACATGCCATTTTCTCTTGTCAAAATAGAATTCCAGCGTGCACGACTACTAAAGTGACAGCCAGCTTGTGAGCAACTTCATACCATTATGATGGATGTAAACAACAGGTTAAGCAATATCAGAAAGTAAAAAAACTAAACCTTAAAATACAGTAAATGTTTATTATAAGGCATTTAAAAATGATTTATTGTATTCACAATTGCTTACAAGAGCTTTTAAAAGTATATTCTGATACTATATGTCCTTAAAATTGAATTAAAAATTATGGAATAAAATCATTACAGAGTTGGTATGATCTTGGTTCAATGGCGCGTTTTACAAATTTTGGCGGGAACATCATTGCTGTGGTATCGTCAAACTTTAGAAATTCATCACATAAAACTTTTAATAAATAATTGGTAATAATATAATTACAAATATATGATAATATGAAGTCTTCTATATGATTGTTACTAATACTTCACTAGTAGCAGAAGGAGCCCCTTCAACCCTCCAAATTATAACTTATGAAAAACAAAACAGTATTTTTTTATCATTTTATTACAAAACATGTATACAAAAAATAAGTTTCTTCACACTTGTACAAATAAATAAACAATATTTACAAATTGCAAGATAATGGCATAATATTAAGTCTTAAAACTAAGTTCGCATCCACTACCAAAATATTTGCTCATTTATACAATTTTAAATTTTGTATAAATAAATCTAAATTTTCTTATTATTTAGTCCTTGATCTTTAAAATTATTTCTAGTTTACATTTATCTGATAACTTCTTCCAAAGGAAAATGCCTAAATGAATCATTAAATATATCTGTGAAAGCAGTGCTGACTAGGTCGTTGATGAGAGGCTTGATGACAGCAAATCCTGGTTGCCAGGCTGAATTTATAATAGAATCTAGGAATCCCTCTATAAAAATTAAAATATACACAAATATAAAGTCATACCACAAAATGCAATTGTCAACAAAAGTAGTTTAAGATAATTTGGGTATAAATAATGAAAAATTACAATTATTACCTAAAACTTTTTTTCCTTGGAGAAGATTACTTATGTGCAATTGCATGTCTCCAATTCGATCAATTTCAACACGAACTTTAAGACGTCCTCCTGATTTGCCTACTCTAGTAACTGTTGTGGTTTGGCTAAGAAAAAATATTAAATTTTGTATACAAAATAAGAATACTTTGCCACAAAGCCACACATATAAGAATTATAAATAATAACAAAATCTTTTTACCATGTGCTGTGGATAAATATAATATTTCACATAAGCAACAAAACAGAAATTTGAAAGGCACAACTTTTTATCAAGCTCTTCAAAGGATTGATTTTGAATATAGATTTTATTACTTTTTAATTTAGGAATTTGATTGATTAATTTAAATTTCACATAAATATTAGTAACATTACGAATTTACCTATAATCGTAGAGTGTTAAATTCCATACTCCCTTTGAGATTATATTGTTTCCTAAGAAAATTCCATTAAATTCGTAGTTACCATCTAATGATTTTTCTGGAAAATACTGAGAATAAACTATCCTATTGCGTTTCTTATCTAATCTGAAATATAATACATTTCAAATTAATGTAGTGAAAATAATAAATATAGTAGAATAATAATAGTAAAAGAAAAATATAGTTAGGATACATGCAATAATATAATAAATAAAACATTGCTAAAGTGATGCACAGATTTCAGTAATGAAATATTTTCTAATTTAGATATGTTGTCGTTGGAATAATAGATAAATCAAATAAATAAGATATCAATTGTTTAATAAATTTCATAATATTTATGAATTAAAATATATCATTCAATTTTTAAGTTTGTATTAAGATTATAAGAAAGATTTTGCTCTGAAAAAGTCATCAAGATCATTATAGAATAAAAGCAAGAGTAGAATTCTTGTGTTATCAACTAAAACTTATACTTTTTTATCATTATTATCAGTCTAATTATTAAATCAAAGAAGGCCTGAATTAAAAAAAAATTCAAATTTTGAGTAATTTCAAATTACCGGGTCTTGGTGACTTCTGATTGTGTCCAACCGTACTCACTGACGTTGGTCAGGACAAGTTTATAATTTAGCAAACTTCCTCCTCGCCTTTGTTCTATGTAGGGACTACGATGAGGGTCGAAGGGCGCTATCCCTAAACTGGGTAGACCTAATTGGAAAAAAATCAATAAATTACTCAAAAATGAGAAAATGAAATTGATTTCAATTTATCCCAAAGTAAAAATATAAATTATTAATTAAGCAAATATTAATAATCTAAAACACAATTCAACTTATCTAAAAAGTTAAAAAAAATATATCATATTTGGGTTTTGTGTTAAATGGTAAATATGAAGAAATTGCAATTTATAGTTATATATTACACATAGTTATTTTTTAATAGAAAATAAAAAATCTCCAGCTAAAGTATCATCCTCTTCACTATTTTGCGACAACAATGGTTAATGTTTATTCACGTGCTGACAAAAAATTGTCTAAATTCCACATCTTCAAACAAATCCATTAAAAATATATATGCAAAACAAAAATTCTTATATCATATCATAATGTATTTGATTTATGTCTCAAAATTAATCGAGATATATGTGAAAGTTTGCGTGTTTCTATCAACCAAACAAGTAATTTTATATATATATAAATAATTTATGATATACCCATTTAATAACGCCCATGATCATCTCCAAAGCTATCACTTTCATTGCAGATTAATAATGATTATATATGATAACATTAGAAAGATATTCACTTTTACTCTTACCTGTTTTAAAAAGCGGCCTCAAATCATTAAAACTTTTTGTAAGACAGCTATCGAATTTTGGTGTGTTGATATCACATTCTTCAAAGAATTTGGCTAAAAGAGGGAAAAACATAGTTAGAAAATATATTTGGCAACATTTTTTTAATTTTCTAAATTTCTAAATTTTCTAATTTGTTTTTCCTATCTTGTCTGGCAATAGTAAAGTTTGCTATTTACTTGGAATAAAATAATTTAAGTTAATAAATAATTCACTGTTGTTGTCATATAAAGTCTGCAACCAATTCATCTCTTGCAAAAACTTATACTGGGTAAAATAATATTTCAAAATATATTCCAGTTAAATAACTAATGTCGGTTATGACCACGATATGGGCTAATAAGTTAAATAATTATCCATGAAACCATTACCACAAATTATGTTATTTATTACGAATATATGTAATATTTCAAAAAACCCACGCGTACTCACAATCGATTTCATTTACGTTTACATAAGATACAAGTTACGAGAATCTTTAACAAGTTTTTCTGAGTAGAGTTAGGCTAAATTTGAAGTTCTATGAAAAGAAGTTTCATATTGTTTTTTAGAAGTAAAAGTTGATGATTCGTTTTGATATTTGTAATAAATGCAGCCATTCGACGTTAAGTAACTTTGACTGTGTAATCATATCAAAGAAAGTGGCACAGTATGGAATGAGCGTCATGATTAGATGCGCACATAAAACGGAAAAAAGACTGATATTTACCAAACATTCTGACAAATAATTCAAATCTTACTAATTATTTAAGGAAAAACTAGCACGAGATAAGGACATGCATGGTATAATATAATATACTAACAATGGATGGTATACGAGGTCTGTTCAAAAAGTTTTCGTAATTTTCGTTTTTTCAAAAAAATATTTATTTATTCGTCTACATTAATGTGGTCCCCTTCAAAGTAGTCCCCCCCAGATATAATACACTTATGCCAGCGTTTTTTCCAATTTTCGAAGCACCCTTGATATTCACTTTTTGATATGTTCTTGAGCACTCTCGGCGATTTTCTTCAATCGAGGAAAACCGCCGTCCTTTCATGGGTCTCTTCAACTTTGGGAATATGAAAAAGTCACACGGAGCCATATCTGGTGAATTTTTGCACTTTGCAACACTTTATTTCATTTTTTACGCAAAATTTAATACAAATTCTTTGACTTTTTCAATTCTTCCATTGTAAAAATCGCCGAGCTCAGAAAAACACGTCGAACCTTAGCGACTACCACAGACAAAGTAAACAGTGAATATAGCTGAAAATTTCATCATACTTTAGGGGCATGTATACCAACACAATAAAAAAAAAATTTTGACAATCAGACACTCCAGACCCGCGAAATTTAATTATTAGTAATTCCGGGTACTTTTTGAACAGACCATGTATATATATTATAAGAACGTAGCCCTATATGCACAACTTTATTGAATTTTCATAAATAAACGATGCCCAATACGATGCGATATCAATCGATATCTTTCAAAAAAACTTATACCATCTGTTATTTTATTAATTTAATTTTATTTATTAAAATTTAATTTTATGTTCTACTTTGTGTTCAAAAAATATATTTTATTTAAGTGTTGGCATCAACGATGATCAGTAGACATAGAAACAAATTCACATAGAGTTCATATGTTCTACAAGCGTGTCCCATTATTCCAAACTTTAATGATATTTTATCCTAAACTACATTTCGCGAGCTTATAATATTTTACTATGTTCGTTTATTACTTACATAAGTTGCAAGAGTCAATTTTTCAACATTTGATTACTAAGAAAGCACCAATATTTACCAAAAACTAATCAGCATGATTCCCAACTGATATTTCTCGAATTTTTAAAAATAGGTTCAGGTAGTTCAAATTTTTACAAAAATAGGTTTATGCTTATTCATCTATGGGTTCAGGATTTTTGCAAAATGGCAAAACGTTGACGAAGAATTTTGCACTTATAAAATAAATTAATAGTTCATAAATTGCAGTATATCAAGTGATGAATATTCTTGTCAACGCAGAAAATGTATGAAAGTATTTTAAAAATTTTTATATTTAAAATTTATATTCATTACTTATCAAATTAAAAAAAAATATTTAGAAAAAAATATTAACTGTTGTAATGATGTGTAAATAAAAAATATGATATAAATCCGATTTTCTGGAGAAAACAAACTTTTCCTTATTAACACGATGAAATTATACAACTTTAGTCGAGATCTATATATAGTTGTACATTCAGCATTCAACAAATCTTCTAAAATATATTTAAAAAAAATTAAGCAGTATTATATATTATAATAGTGTATATTATAATTTATATTTGTATATTGATAATAAGGTGCACAATGAAGGAAATACTAATGAGCAAATTTATATACAAAGCATATTTTAACCAAAGTCACTTCATCTGGTAAAGTTTATTTAAGTAAATAATAAAAAATGTAAAAAATATAGTACGAACAACAAATGGAAGTATGCTTTCTCATTGCATGTTGTAGCATTTGATTTCATGGTATGAATAATCCAATATTTATATTTATCTACACGCATATAGACTACATTACGAAGTTCAAGTTTTTCTCTTAAAAGATAAGATGCAACTCCATATTGCTCATCGTTACAAAGTAAAGGACTCCCGGAATCACCATAGTAGATGGTTTGGTTTCGGTTGGCAGCCAAGCATATATCTGATTTGCTTATTCCAATATCAACCCATTTTCGTCTACAGTCTTTATGAGAAAGTACTCCTAGTTGCACAGATCGTAATGGATTATGTTGACGAATATTCGATTCATGTTCTGGATCCACCCAGATTTGACCCCATCCAATAGCTGTACATTCGTCAAATAATTCGCCAATATCCAGAGATGAGTTACTACTATGTGCCAACTTTGCTGGCTGGACTACATGGTTGAAATAGAGCGAATCTTGCGTTGAAACTAACGCTAAATCATTTGTCAATTTATTCGACAAACTTTGATAGTTAGGGTGGATATAACAATTCTTACTCTTCAGTATCTGAACTTCTTTCCTATTTTTATACTTTTGGCAGTTACTGACTCCTGCGATTATCTTAAATGAACACATCCAGAAAAAAGTTAAAGGTTGGACACAATGTGCGGCTGTCAGTATCCATCGATGATTCACAATTGATCCACCACAAAAATGATATCCAGATTTTTGGAGAGAAACAATATATGGATATTTTTCGATTGATGTTATTTCTCCGCCGACTATCCTGTGGGTATGGTTGTACGATTTTGGATTTGAAGTTTCGTATGTTTCGTGAATGTGACATATTATTATTATAATGAAGGCATACTTGATCATTTTTAATCAACTGTCAGAGGAAATCATTTATTTAGGTTCATTATAAAGTACTCCTGAATTGCGGTATTTGATAAATATTCTTGTCAACGCAGAAAATTTAGAAAATTTAATAAAATTTTTACATTACTTATTATAATCAAAAAGTAATATTTAAAAAAAGATCTATTTAAACGATGTATATATAAAAAACATGATCTAAACTAGTTAATCATTAGTTGCATAAACTTTCTGATATGTGTGAATAATGGATTCAAACATCTTTTAAAATTGCGATGGTAAAATTTGAAATTTTGACACGAGCCACTATTTCAAACTTTGGTGAGTTTTAATATAACATTTTAGTAGTTTCGTTAAGACCATGAACCTTTTGTCATCATATAAAAATTTATCAAAATCGTTAAAAAAATCTGCTGATTTCCAACTGATATTTTTGGAGCAGTTTTGAAATTTCCAAATTAGTTGCAAAAATGTTGAAGAATGATGAATGAAATAAAAAAAAGGAAACCAGATAGGAAAAATTATTTACTTATTTTAAATTATTATTTGCTTTATTTGATAAGGTGCTTTGATTAGATAAAGCTAATAATTCCTTAATATATGTATCTAAAACGGTATATGTTACACACATAATGTGTATAATAATACATAAAATGTATTTATATAAGTTATTCGATATTATTTACAAGATTATACATATGAATACAAGTCAGTGTCGTAAAATGTTATAGGTATTATGGATGTCCATTGTGCAACTCAGTGTACCATAAAATAAGTAACGTTGCAGAAAGCTGAATGTTTCAACATTTAGAAATTACTTGCATAAAATGAAGAGATAATACTTACAGATAGTAAAATAATAGATTAAATTCAAATTTAATAGGCAAATTCTAAATTTGGACTTTTGTTAAATACTTATAAAAATTAATTGCACAATATTGGCAGTAGGTACTAAAAGTTCATAATGCAAACGAATGAATATTTTATTGATCAATTGGTTCGCTTTATCATCTATTAAAATTTGTGTCATCCATCTGTACACTTTCAATTAATTGTGTTTTATTACAATTATGTGTTTTAAAATATTTGTATCTTATATTTTGAGAGTAAAACTCTAATTTATGCTATGAGAAAAATACTAGAAAATGAATTGCTCGTGTTCACAAAATGCAATGCAAATAACGCAAATATTGACCAACATAAAAAGTATGATTTTTATGTTGGTCAAACTAAACCAAAATGTATTTATTCACTAAAAGCAATTAATTAAGGTAAAACCTTGATTAGATATTTGTTTATATCATGCAACAATACCATATAATAAAAAACAAATAAGAAAACTCACCAATTGCAGCTAGTTCACTATCACTATCACCAACAACCTGCACAGCACACAAAACAATTGCAATATAACAGCATCGTTCAATTTTGCTTCCACGCATTTTCAATTTGTCTCGACTACAAACTCAACTAAATGTCCTGATATTCGTTGAATGAATACTCAATTTAAAATTTTCTATATCCAATGCATTCTTGTTGATTTAATTTCTCTTCGTTCACATTAATATTCCAACTTGAAGAAAATCAATCTTTACCTGTGAGAGTTTACGCGAATTATGAGCGCGTGTGCCGACTAGAGTGGCTCCCGATGGATTGAGGAGATCTTCGAAGGCCACGGTGATGGTGATATCACATATGATTACCGAAGAAAGTTACTATAACATTCCCCGTAATAAATTGGTTAATCTCTTGTTGTAAAAGTTAATTGAAATATACAACTATATATGATAAGAAAATTGATTGATTGTACAAATATAAGTTATTATGTGGAAACCAAGATTGCTTCTAAATAGCTTTAAAACTAAACTACCATATTGTAAAATTGACTACAGTTCAAAAATCCAAAAAAAGTCCAAAATAGACTACAATACAGTATCTAGTATTAGACAAGTACAAAAGACAAGCCTCAAAGACCGTGGTGCACCTATAAAGTCTCTTGCCTGAAAACCTACTTAGGAGGCGTCCATTAATCACGTGAGGTTTTTAAAGTGAGAAGGAATTTGAAAAAAAAATCACGAAATATCACGTGGAAGAAAGGGGGAAGAGGGTATAGTATATAGTATAACCCAAACATTTTCAAAAAAATTCAAAAATTTTACAATTTTTTCTCGTAACTAAAAATACACGTGATGTTTGGTTGGGGAGAAGAGTAATTTTGAATATAACCACGTGTCACCAAGGGAGAGGGGGGGTCTGAAAATCCTTAAAAAATCGATCACGCGATTAATGGACGCCCCCTCAGAGCCAGATTAAAATAAGAAAGTTTATTCTAGAATTTTTAACAATCAATCTAAAATCAATATCGATAGTCTTCTTATTTGTATTTTTAAAATCTACTTTTATTCCTACAATGTTGTTAGTTCATAGTTCATGTTGTTAGTTTATTCTGTTAGTATAGTTGTAAATATAATAAAAAAAATATAATTGCAAAAATAAAACGTTTCTAGAGATTGTTATATGCAATTACATAAATAGACAAAGATTGCTATTCAGGTCATTTAGCAATACGATGCAAGAATCATGATAGAAAATGTACTTATTGACCAAGGAAAACAATATAACAAGAAAAACATGTGATTGAATTTATTATCTGGTAATTAATTTATATATATATATATATATATATATATATATATATAAATATATATATGTATATATATATATATATATATATATATATATATATATATATATATATAATATTCTATTATTCTGATTGACTCCAGTTACGGTTATTGCCTTCAATGAAAACTCGTAATATGGTTTATTCATATATTGCTAAATGAGTTCAATCTTCGCGTATGATCTAACTTTTAGAAATGAGAATTATTTAATATCTAAAGTTTCGACAGAAGAGAATTCCAACAAATCGTAATGTGTACGCATTGAGCAATTTTAGATGCATTTTTTCTGTTCATATCTTTGTTAAAATGATAAAAGAAAGAAGCAAAAAAAACACGAAAAATTACTAGATCACCCAAACAAATATCTAAAAGAATTAAGCGAGAATCTCCTACTCGAAGATTGAAAAAAAAATGGCCATACAATCTTAAATAAAATGTCAAAAAATAAAAAAAGAGATATTTCATAGGAGATAATCTCTTAAATGCATTTACACCAGGCATATTGTCTTAAAAATGTATATAATTTTGATCGGCAATAAATCTATGCAAATAAAAAAAATCTTTGTTAACTTACTTAAATGGCAAAACACAATACGAAGATATATATGCTACTTTTAGAAATGTTGTTCATTTAAGCTTCAATTAATTTAAGAATAAACATTTTTAAAAAAATTAAAAACTGCATACATTTTTATCTATTCTAAACTTAGTATTAAAAGGAAAAATCATTCAGTTTATATTAACTTACAAATTTAGGTCTTAACATAACTTTAGGTCTCCCTTAGAAAGCGTTCATTAATCTCGCGGGTTTGACAAAAAAGCACAAAATATCAGGTGAAGAGAGAGGTTTAGTAAGATATCACGTGTATTTATATTAGACCTGAATTTAAAAAAAAATGCATTACTAAAAATGTTTGGTGATGTTTCATAGAGGATGATGGGTGATATTAAATATCACGACGGATCACCAAGGCGGAAGGGAGGCCCCAAAATCCCTAAAAAATCGATCACGTAATTAATAGACGCCACCTAGATATGGCATTTACTCTGGTGAGGTTTAGATCACGGAATTAAATTAGCATAACATCTTCAAATTTGGCATACCAACAAAATGCATTTACATCGCATTTGGGAAAAAAGAGAAATTTTGCTGTGAATTTAATAGTGTCTCTAAAGATCTTCCAGAGCACGTACAGATCTGGCGCCTCTTTTGTGTTCATAAAAATACATCAATTCACTAAAACACGTTTTGCGTGTGTGAATCTACAAGCCACTTTCGATTTCGTGCACGTACTGCGGCAACATAATTGATATATAATAATTCTCTAATCAAGATTGCATTAAGACAAGTGGACGCAAGACATTGAGAAAGCTTATACTTCTTTTACTTGGAGAGATTAAACCAGAAAGTTCATGGGCAGGTCCCTTTCTAAATTGATTAGTTGTTTTCGTCCTAAAGGCATTTAACTATGCTAAGACTACAGAAGGAAAGTGCAAGAATGTATATATTTGTAAAAATCATATCATTTGATTTTTGTGTAATTGTTAATTCTCATATCATATAACGATAGGTACAAAAAGTTTATTTTTATATTTTCAACTAATTAAGAATTTTTTACTATGTGCCCCTTTGATTGTATTTATTATTAATTATCATTTCAGTGAATATTTATTCAGTAAATGTTTATTTACGTATGACATAATATGGAATGACCCGCGAAAATATTTAAGTGTTATATCACGACCATGACTTACTTCTGAAATTTCTCAAGAGGCTTCGAATGCGGTGAGAGACCACATTTTTAATCCATATTAAAAAAACAACAATCGATGGAATGTTTTGTATCTGATTGTGATATGTGATTGCAAAATAATACTGGTGAAATTTCTAACATATTAACTAATGTAATAATAACTGCATATAAAAAACTATAAAAATTAACTCCTAATCCAGCAAAGCAGCCACCTAAATTTCGTAAACAGGTTCAACCGATAAATGTTTTTTTTCAATACTGTAATAATTTATGTGTGTTCTAACGATTTTTGAAACTCGTAAATTATAATTATAATAATCGCTGAGAATAATATTAGGCGTATAAAAATGTATAAATTGCTGTTAACATAACTGTAGAAATGTCTTATGGTATTCAGTGAAAAGAAATTTCATTATCGCATGTTTGTTGCATGAATAAAAGTTATTTATAATATAAAAATTATTATAAGATTATCATTATTAACATAATTTATACACATACGAATCGTAGATCAATAAAAAGATGAAAGTGTAATAAAAGAATCGATATAAATATTATAAATTTT